GATATAAATAAATAAATAAAAATAAATAAATAAATAAAAATAAATTTATTTTATTTACAATATTTTTTAGCCGCACCATTGCCAGTAGGTCAGGGTTCTTTCATCTTGATTTGGTAAACATTCAATGGTACCACAAACACTACAATGGATTACTTCAAAGTACCGACTAGACATGTAAAATCTAAAGAAATTTTGAAGCTACATGTGTGTGTTTGTGTGGAGTTGTTTGGAAAAAAAGGTAAAATGTTGGCATTTGGGGAAAGTTGAAAATCTACAATACTTACATTTTTAGAGCCTTTATAGAACTAATTTGCCATGTTGAAGTTCTTCTCATCAGTCTTAAAGCCTGTTTTTTATTATTATATTGTTCTCCAGAGTATTCAGAGTGGCCAGAATTCTATTTCTGTTTATATTTTGTATAACTCATTGCAGCTAATTAATGGGATGCCATGAGTACTTCTCATTTGTGCATTCGGGCATAATGCTGTCAGCCTCAGTTATTTGTGGAAAGTTACACAAACCTTACACAAACACCAGTTCTGGACACTTTATCATTATAAATCACAATATATCTGGTGGAATTCTTTTTGTTGTTTAGTCGTTAAGTCATGTCCTACTCTTCATGACCCCATGGACCAAAGCACGCCCGGCCCTCCTGTCTTCCACTGCCTTCTAGAGTTTGGTTTCTCTTCAGATCGTATAAATCTTTCGCCTTTTACTAGAGTTTGGTCAAATTCATGTTGGTAGCTTCAATGACACTGTCCATCCATCTCGCCCTCTGTCATCCCCTTCTCCTCTTGCCTTCACACTTTCCCTACATCAGAGTCTTTTCCAGGGAGTCTTTTCATGAGACGGCCAAAATACTGGAGCCTCAGCTTCAGGATCTATCATTCCAGTGAGCTCTCAGGGTTGATTTCCTTCAGAATGAATAGGTTTGTTCTCTTTGCAGTCCAGGGGACTCTCAAGAGCCTCCTCCAGCACCACAATTCAAAAGCATCCATTCTTCGGGGGTCAGCCTTCCTTATGGACCAGCTCCCATACGCTACTGGAAAAACCATAGCTTTGACTATGCAGACCTTTCTCGGCAAGGTGATGTCTCTGCTTTTTAAGATGTTGTCTAGGTTTGTCATTGCTTTCCTCCCAAGAAGCAGGCATCTTTTAATTTCGTGGCTGCTGTCACCATCTGCAGTGATTGTGGAGCCCAAGGAAGTAAAATCTGTCACTGCCTCCACATCTTCGCCATCTATTTGCCACGAGGTGATGGGACCAATGGCCATGATCTTAGTTTTTCTGATGTTGAGCTTCAGACCATTTTTGGTGCTCTCCTCTTTCACCCTCATTAAGTTTTTAAATTCTTCCTCGCCTTCTGCCATCAGAAAAGAACAATAGCTCTATTGAATAGAAAATGTCTTATTGGCAGCACACAACCATCAAGAAGACTTTCCAGAGAGTCCAATACGACCCTTCCTTATTTGACAAGACAGTAACTACAATTTAATAGCAAGACTGTTGCATTTTTTAAAAATAAAACTTTACAAAACCACAATTACAATCTAAAATGTGGGTGAGGAGAGAACAAGTTGGTGCTGAAAAATAGCATGACGTGGTACTCTTGTTGAGGGACTTGTACTATGCTGACTATAAATGTCATGACTTGCACTGAACTATACAAATGAGCCAGAAAAATAGGGTGTTAATAATAAGCGTTTAAATGGCACCACATTTATTTTTAAGGTCCATTGTTAACAGAATACAAGACAACTACTGTGTTTACAACAACAGAACGCAGGAACTAAGGATGCATAACTAATATTCCAGTTATTCTGTGTGCCTGCGAGGAGGCTCTGCCACAAGATGCATCATTGACCAGTCACATGTGCAATGAACAGGAGCAGATTTCCAATAACACACTGCAGAACAGCAGCCAGTGGTTGAGGTGCAGTAAATTAATGCATAAATCCACACATTTTAAAATACTGTATAAGACTGCTACCTGTAGCCAAGCTATAAAGAGGTAACCAGTGCTCTAGGGGAACCATTTCCATCGACCAAAAGGACTCCTAATTACTTCATATTGCTATTTACAGTGCTGAAAATCCAACTGAGATAAATTAATATGAAACATTGTTACAACATGACTTGACTCTCCCCTTTTAAGGGAAAATTTGTCTAAGGAATTTAATAACAATAGCAGTCAACTATTTTAATTAGAAAGCTGAACTGTGAACTTTAGATTAAAAATAGTTTGGCTTAGTGTTTTCTTGGTGCAAATCCTTTTTCCCAATGGCTGTATCCTAATGATGGATGCAATTTAACCTGAGAGATGTGAAACATATTGTTCACACGTCACAATGCTCAAAAGGGCCATGGTTCATTCTTTTTTTCAATCTCATTTATAAGAAGCAAAAGAGGGCCAATGCCAGCTAGGTTCACACAAAAGAAAAACTGAAAAACCATCCTCACTCCCTAAGCTGGGACATCAGTGTGCTACAACAGTTTACTTTTCACTAAGGATGAAGCCTATCAATCTTCCTATATAATAGTTGGCTGGAGATAGAGAGCAAGAAACCAAGGAGAGGGCAAGAATACATTGATCCCTAATATATTAGCACTAGGGAAGACAGCATGCCTAATAGCATGTTACTATAGCTCTGTGCTGTAGTAACCTATGGTACAACAATTTGGGCTCTATAGCCCATTCTGCTCAACACATAATTGAACACTAAGGCAGGAGCTTATGTAACATTACTGTAGGGTATGTTTTCTTGAGTTACTTATTGTTTAGGTTGCTGGTGTGTTTACCTGCATTAACAGAATATTGATGGCACATACATCTAAATTAACAGAATTTGATCTAAACATATATGACATTTGTGAGAAATACTATCTGTTCAAACTGTGCATTCAGCCCATGATCCTGTTGAATTCAGTGAGGTAAAGAGGGCACTTAAGCTATAAGTTGTACCAACAATAGAAACTTAAGGCTATCATATGTGTGTTCTTGGTCCATGTTTTGTAAACTGTAGTTGTTTAAAAAAACTGTACTCGAACAATAACTCATTGCAGAATGCTATTTTCAGGCATCTAGCTAGATTATTAAATATTGCCGAGTTCTCTTAATAAATGAGAGCTTTGTAATCAACTCTCAACATTATAAACCCATATATATACAATTTTAAAGTTGGAATGATCTCCATTGTGCTTGAATCTGCTGTGGTGGTGATGCTATTAAATCAATGAAAGCAAAGTTCTCTAGAGCTACATCAGCAGGTTAGAAATTAAGATATTCCATCCTGGAACTCCCATGTGGTTGTGTGTAAGATTTAAACACTTCTTTAAAATCATTTCATAACACTGTGCTACCTGAGTGACTTGAATATATTCAAGAGAAGCAGGCTCAGCCCCTGAAGTTCTAAGGAAAGGCAAATATTCTTTTGATAGGGCTTGAGTTCTGTGGTTACAGGACTCAACCTAGCCAAAACAATGTGTATAGATACACTTTCCCACTTGTATCAGAAGACCTGTCCAGCTAGTTAGTTCTACAGGGTTCTAATGAGAAGCACAATGCAGAGTGGACAAGCATTTATACCAGCAACATAGACAGAAAGTTGCTCACACCTGTGGATCTCTGGTGCTGGAACAGAGTGGCAGTTCTAGGAAAACTTGTCTGTCTCTCTCCCCACCCCTGTCAGGCCTGCAATGGGTGTGTGTTGCAGGTGTGTACAGGCAATAAAGGAAAAGGAACCAGTTCAAAACTGAGAGTAATGGAAAAGGAACAGCATGTGGAATAGGAAGAGAGTTTTTAAGCTTGATTCTGCTCCTTGGTTGGATAACAAACATCCCTCAGTAAGGAAACAACAGTCTATTCTCTTATAGGTGGAAAACTAAGTTTGTACTACTATAGAGAGACACATCTATAGTGAGATGAAGATGTACAGTGACTAAAGCTGCAAATACCTTACATGTGTGCACATCTCCCATATGGATTATCAATCAATGAAGAGTTTCCACAACTGATCCGCTGTTTCTCTTGCAATACTGTTAACACATGAACAACAAAAAAAGCAGTTTTCTGGAATTAAATTCCCTGAAGTATGTATGCAAGACAGAAAATTGTCTCATGGAATATCAAGAATACTTGGGAGACATTATCTTTCATAAAATACAGATGAAACAAATAATCCCACTGATATCAATAGAACAATGTCATCATATATCCTGGGAGGCTGTAATCTTCATACCAGTTAATTCTGAAATAATCCAGTAAAACTATTTTATAGTCTGAAGATTAGTTTTTTGTTTGGCCATGACTGTACACTGTGTAACCAATGACTCTGTGGTTCCCACAGCTAAACTGCAAAGAAAGTGGGCAAGAACACAGCGTAGACTGCTGATCTCTTGTGAAAAAGAAACAACACACTCTGCTACATACCATATGTTAACATGTTGACTATGAAGAAACATAGTCAACATGTTAATATATGATCAGAACCTGGCAGTGGAAACTATTTTTATATATACTAGGACTAATAAATACATGTCTGTGAATATATCGTTCTGCTAAATAAAGCAAGACACACAGTGATGAGCTGAAAGAATGACTCATCATAGCAAACTGTACAGAAGTTCTTTAACTCTTTGAAAAAGGTTTAAATATGTTACTGAGTACCCAAATCCCACAGACAAGCCAATGGGTCTATTATGTTGTAAATAGAAGTATGCCCTAAATGAAATAATGCAAACACCTGTCAAATATGTAGAAATTAGGACATTTCTACATAAAGTATTTCTAAAAGAATGAGTCTGTGTTTCATCTATAATTTAAACTTTGAGGAATTGACAAAATATTTTATATGGTATAAAATCAGATGGAAATGAGCATACAGATTTTTAATCTAAATACGAACATCTAGATCTGTAGCCATGGTTTATCTTTCTTAAAAAAAGAAACAACACAAAAAAAGCAGATCTGAAGAATATAGATTTTGTCAGGCAATAAAAATAATGTTAGTGAATCATCTTCTTTGAATTCGGGCTCCATGTGCTCCAGCCTGATATAAATGATGTGAATGGTAGATTTAAAAAACCCAGTGGCTGATCTAGGGTACAAGAGTTTGGAGTTCAGTGTCAGATAATTCATTGACTTCCATGATCTTTTCCAAATGTTCCATGTAGCGACGATAGTCTTGCAAGAAGTGAGGCAACCTCATATTCTCAATGATCCCTAAATCCTTGAGCCGATCCACATCCTCATAGGATACCTATGTAAGAAAGAGGAAAAAATCATTCTGGGGTAATCTCATTTCAGTGTTTAATTCTCTAAATGTGGTCTGACTGACTCCAGTTCAGAACTTTAGTGTAAAATAAAAAAATATGGGAAGAGACCTCCAAAGATAGGCATAATGACGTATGGGAGACTTTTTTTTCAAAAAAATAAACATGCAATTGCCCCCTGCTTTTTTTGGAGACCAGCACAGAAACGTTGGAGTGGAGTGTGATGGGCAGGGACACTATCCAGTGCCTTTTCAGATGAACCTAAAACTATTCCCACTTCTTCTCAATGCATATAGACCATCCCAGAATACTACAGAAAGCAGAGTTACACCAGTATCATAAAAATCAACTTGATCCATGTCACAACTACACAACAAATAACAACAAGTCAATGGGCTAGAAGAAGGCATTTGAACAGACGGCTTCCTCTTGTGCTTACATCAGAAACTCCCAAGCCCACCTGAATCTTTGCTGGACTTAGGAGGAAAAAACTGTTCCTCAAGAGTTGCCCGCCATCCTCTGCAACACTCACCTGCTATCTCAACCACAACCGTGGCTTGGGCAAAGCTAGAAACTGTTAGTAGAGCCTCTGAAGTGAGATTATTTTAGATCCACTTGAAAAGATATAGGATAGTAAACAACCTCACTTCAGCATTGTAATTTTTTACTTTACAGTGGGGCCTCGCTTAGCGATTGCCTCGTTTAACGATGTATTCACTTAGCGATGGGTTTTTTAAAAGAATTTTCTGCATCGTTTAACGATGTTTCCTATGGGCGATTTTCGCTTAGCGATTTCGGGACCATGCTTCACATAGCGAATGCATTTTGGGTCCCCTGTTTTGCTTAACGATGTCCGTTTTTGCAATTTTAAAAGTGTCTTAAAATGTTCAAAAACTGTTTTAAATGCTAGGAATCATTAGTGCACCTTCTAAAACGTGTGAAAACTTAATTTGGCTCTGTTCTGACTCTTCGTTAATTTTTGGCGAATTCCCCCCCCCCCATTGAAATGCATTGAACCCGATTTTGACAGCTGTCAAAATCGGGTTCAATGCATTCTAATAGGGGAGGAAAAAAAATTCACCAAAAATTAACGAAGAGTCAGAACAAAGCCAAATTAAGTTTGCACACGTTTTAGAAGGTGCACTAACGATTCCTAGCATTTAAAACAGGTTTTGAACATTTTAAGACACTTTAAAAATTGGAAAAAACGGACATCGCAAAACCATTGAAATGCATTGAATAGGCTTCAATGCATTCCAATGGGGGAAACACTGTATCGCTTAGCGATGTTTCCTATGGCGATTTTCGCTTAAGGACGGCAATCCGTTCCTATTGGAACGGATTATCCGGTTTTCCATGCATCTCTATGGGAAAACGTGTTTCACTTAGTGTTATTTTCCCATAGCGATGTTTTTTTTTAACCAATTAAAATCGTTAAGCGAGGCACCACTGTATTTTTTTTTCATGATGAAATTGATACGTGTCATTATTTCTAAGTGTGAATATACTAACATGTTCGTTAGCAAACAGTTTACATGACAGGGAAGGGAATACAAGGGGGTGGAAATCTTTGCCCAAAACACAATGTTTTGAATCACTGCTCTCATAAGCTCTTACCAGGTTGGGGCTTCTGGAAGTAGAAACCAAAAAACATCCGGAGAGCCAAAGGATCTCCATCTCCTGATCTATGGACTAAATTGAGTCTGGCTTAATTTCACATGAAGTCACTCCACTTCCCTATTTCAGCATTTCAAGTACTATTTGTTGGAATCATGCACTGCATAAAAAGGATCAACAAATGGGAAAAGTTCAGGACAGATTTCTCAGAGCAGTACCACCCAAACAGGCCTGCCAGAAAGATATCAGTTACCTTTATTCTCACAAGTAGCAAGAGAAACAATGAAAACAGTTCTAAAAAGCATAAAATGTAAGGGGGGAGTATGTGGAGCTCCTTCTAGAAGGGGCTTTAACAAGACCATGGGTGCTGCTCTAAGAGCATGAAGGTAAACAAATGGACCAGCTCCCAATTGGATGTTTGTATTTCGCAAATCTCAACAAAACCATGGCTTTTCCAAGGAAAAGACAAACTTGCCCCCCCCCAAATTATCATAAGACTTCTGAATATAAACCAGGAGCAATTAATTTGAGGATTCTGAAAACCATAACAAGGTAGTCATTTTCAGCAAACTTTACTAATTTCCTGATCAGCGTATTCTTATCTAACTTGCATGCCAATGTTCTCAAATCTTCGATTGTACATTTTAAAGAGTGTATACTCAACATCGGTTAACACTTCATATAGGTTTATTCCATGCCCCACCATTTCACTCACCTTTCCAAGAGCTGTCAGTAAGAAGAAATCAATAGAATGCCGGTATCTCAGAATCCGGAGGATACCATCCAAGTAGACCTGATCTTTACTGAAGCAGCCTGAAAGAACGAATTTACAGTATATTTGAGAAACAATTTCCAATGTAAGTCTGCAGAAGAAAAGATCATCAAGCCTTGTATATCCAAACATGATTTTTACATTTTTTTAAAAAAGGCAGACTAATGTTGCAATCTTACGCATGGTTGCTATTTTCTGTCAAGTTGCCCTTGACCCATGGTAGCCCTATGATTAAGTGACCTACAAAACACTGTATTATGAACAGTCTAGCTCAGCTCCTGCAAACTCAATGTTTGTTTACATGGGAATAAGTCACTTTGAACACTGGAATTTACTTCTAAGCAATCATACACAGGATTGCACTATAAAACCTCAAGCCTGAACAGACTCACTAAAGATTAAGTTCCAATGAACTCAATGGAGCTTACTTTTAAGACAAATATTCTTAGGATCAGGCTGCATATTAGAGGATCAGTAGATTGACTAACAACCTGGCTAAACAAAGTATTTAGAGATAACTGAATTCTGCTGAAGGAAGGAAGACTAACATTCCATGTCAACATTTTAGATTGGGTGGATTAACTATTATGGGGAAAAAACAAAAGCTTTTGAATGGAATATGTTCTATTCAACTTATATAATTTTTTTATCACTAGGCTGCTAATTCTCTTAATCCTAGTATACCATCATAAATGAACAGAGCCTAGAGCAAAGAATACCCTACAATGACAATCTGGGGCAACACTTTGATGACAGCTATTAAAGGCCAAACTGTGATAAGATAATCTCAACAGAAGATCAAACAACCTATTCATATTGTGATTACAGAATTTCCTTTTAAATAATCTGCATTTTCAACTATGCCATATGCCCAACAAGCTTCTTGTCTTTTTGAACTTTTTATGGCTTCCACTTGTAAAGCTTTCACCTCTTTAGCTTGATCAAAATAAATATTTGACCTGAAAAAGGAAACCACCACCACAATTCACCTGGCTGAGAAGTATCGGTCCAGCCCCTCTTGGCTCTAACACAATAGTCCCACCTCGTATTGGGATCCATGACAAATCTCCCAATGTCCTGAAAGAGCTGTTGGAAGGACATTTGGCTAGCTTGGTAGACAGTGTAGTAGAGGAGGGCAGCTCTCCACAAAAAGGGATCTTTTCGAAACAAAACACTGTGAATGCTTGCCAGGCCTTCCTCTGTGGGGTTAATGGGTTTTAACCCATGCTTTCGACGCCCATTCCAGTTGCTCCACAGTTGGCTGTTGTTGTTAATGCCCCGAAGATAATGAGTTCCTAATAAAAAACAAAAACAAAATCAGCCTACCAAGTAATGTCAGAATTGTGGGGCAGAAGAGGCAGCTAGGAATAGAAGAAACTTCAGCAGGCATTTTACTATGGGCATTTTTTAAAATTACATTTTGGATAATATCTTTCTTCAGGGGCATCTGTGCAGGAGTGCTGTGGAGTTAGAGGACACTTCAGCAACTCTGCTGTATCTGTTTCCTTTTTTCTCACCATCCAGAGTCTCATGCACTATTTTAATTCTTGCTCTGATGCTGCCCAATTCTTCTTAATGCCAGAACATTAACTGAACAATGTTGAAATTGCTGACAGATCAGAAACAAAGATATCTCCTTTCAGGATTGCTCTGGGTGAGGGACAACAAAATAAGCTATTTTGATAGTTGACACAATGCACCAAGCCTTTGCTTTCACATCAGTTTCTCTGAGACTCCAGTTTACGTATTTCAGAAAAAATGATGTGGGAGGACTTGCATTTGGTGGGATAGGCTCAATGTTTAATGTAGGAATCAGGACCAATGTAGAGTGTCAGACATATTGCCCATCCCACCTCTCTCTGTTGGTTGAATAATCTTAGAGTAAGTGTGCCCCCATGTCACCTATTCCCCAGCCGATGCATGAGATGGAGCTTTACCACTCAGCACTGTTGCCCCATGCTGGGAGGGGGCAGAAGGAGTAAAACACTGAATTTCAGCCACTGTCAGATGGACATCCAAGTGCCAGCTGAACTCTATTAGGCACAACCAGCATTTGCAAGCCTCAGTAAGAATACTTGCCTTCATTTATTCTCCCTCTTCCCTGCAGAGAAGACCAGAGTAGAGTTACATTGGCAAACAAGTTCCCAGGACCATTTGTATGGAAATAAGACTAATACAGGGGCAGGAGAACCAGCATGGTAGGAAGTGTTTCTTCTGTACTTTCTGATTACATCATTTATTCTTACCCATTTCCCCACCAATCATTTCTCAAGCTGGATCCCAGTTCAGGCAGGGTGGGCAGAGAATTTGAAATGGCTCATATGGGGAATTTGTAGCAGACAATTAACAGGCATAGGATTCAGCATTCTTTTCCTGTCCGCCACTTCCCCACAAATGCCTCGAGCACAAACCGGCTTTGAAAAAACAAGAAAAAGGCTAGCGATATGGGAAGATACCAGGTAAAGGTTCCACTTGACATTTAGTCCAGTCATGTCCAACTCTAAGGGGTGGTGCTCATCCCTGTTTCCAAGCCGCAGAGCCAGCGTTTGTCCGAAGATAGTTTCCGTGGCCAGCACAACTAGACACGGAATGCCGTTACCTTCCCACCTTGGTGGTACCTATTCATCTACTCGCATAATTTCAAACTGCTAGGTTGGCAGGAGCTGGGACAAGCAAAGGCAGCTCACTTGGTTGCGTGGATTCAATTGTACAACTCCTGGTCTTCCAACCTTGCAGCACAGAGGCTTCTGCGGTTTAACCCGCAGCGCCACCATGTCCCTTATAGGAAGATACTACAGTAAGGCAAAAATATTTTTTTCTGTGAGTGTATTCCTTGCCATTTTTGTTACAAATGGATGAATGAAACGTGGTTTAGGTAACTATTGTGATTATTTCTGACATCAATTCTGCCTACCCTCTTAAGAGACATTTCTCTCCTTCTTACGAGATCTCCCAGACTCTTGACAGACTTCTTATTGGTTCCTGTAATATCTGAAGTCTAAGAAACCACTTCTTTAAAGCCATATCAGAGCTTGGAAGAGTTACTTAAATTCTTAAAATAACCTCTGTTTCGGATCTTTGTTTCCATTATCCCTTGCCTGCTCTTCATTTCTTGTATAAAAAAAAAGTCTCCTGGCATGTCAACAACAGCTTCCAGTTTCTCAAATGAAGGGACTTACTTCACCGGTCCCACTACTGGATCCATATCTCTCAAGTGTCAACCCCAGGGTCTTCATAGAAGGAAGCCTTATTGGTCAACATACTAAGCAGCAGAACTCTTTGTTAATAGGGCACATAATAAATATTTGTGGGTACACCTCAATAAAGCAGTCACACTAGTTATTTTTGTACCTATTTCATGCCTCAACATGCCTTCCAGCCAATGTTCACGGGCAGTGGAAATATTAATTGTGAGAGTTGGTCGGCCATTCACCACCGTCATTGAGGCCCGAGAAAGCAAATCTTCTGAAAGATGAACCACGATCTGAAGAAAAAAGAGAAGCTTGAGATCTCAAAGCCATTTTCTTCCCGTTTTAGTGGCATTCACATTTCTATATACTTATTATTACAAAAAACAAATAAGCAAACAAAACACTTCCATATTCCATATGCCTAAAATTTTCTCATGTTATTATAGTGGGGAAAAACACACAAAATGGTGTAGGCATTACTTCACAATGGGATTACTATAACTGTGTTTTTGTAGGCTAGATTGAAGAGTCATTTCCCATTGTATGAATCTATTTGCTCCCTAAGGTCATCAGGACAGGAGGGTCTGCTGTTTGTCTCACCAACACTTGAATCCTGATTTCTTGAAATGCAACACAGGGTCTCCTTGTAGGCCATGCACTGGGTTTGGAATATCCTGATCCAGGCCAAGAGATCCAGGCTATTCCTTCTCAGAAAGATTTATGTACCGTACTGGAAACCTTATAGCAAAAGGTCTCTGGACACTTGGAGTTTATTATTATTGAAGACTACTTTTACCCTGAGCATTTGTTTTTATGCTAACACTCTTTGATGCCATTTGGTGTATATCGGGGTGGTGAACGGTCCTCCCAATGTTTTGGACTTCCATTCTCAGCTCCCTGCCATTGACCATAGTGGGGGATGTGGACAGGAACTGAACTCCCAAGACACCTGGAGGGCCAAAGGTCACCCTTTTGCTATCTGCTGCTTTGTCTTGCCTTCAAAAATACTAAGCTATTTTCACTTCATGTGATTTCTTTTTTAATCTTTAGATTATTTTGATCAGATGTAACCCACAAATGTCTCATCCTGAAGCAGAAAAAAACGATTTAAGTGCTTGAAATAAACAAACAAGAAAGTACCCACCAAGAAACAGTGTTGGACCTATATTTTGGGGGCCCTGAAGCTTGAATTGTTATGATGCCCCCTTTGCAACAAGCAATTAGGTCTGGGAAACCACAGTAATCTTCTTCAATGAGGCTGTTCCATGACAGATCACCACAATTTTTAAAGTGAATTAAAGTCACTTTTGGGGTTCCTCCTTACCACCTTCTTCTGTCTTGCTCCACTATAGAAGGACTCACATAATAACACCATCATGTTGCTCCATCTTCAGAGCCAGATGGGTAGCTGCTGCAGCAGCCTTTCTCAATGAGCAACCAATGTGATATCATTGCACTGTAGGGAGCATATGACTGGGGTGTTCACGGGTAAGCCGTGATTCTGCAGTTTAAGGTAGTGCTTGGATAAGTGACCCAACCTCGCCTAGGCAGCCTTCTTTCGCCATGTATTTCCTGACATGATTCCAGATGCGACTTTTGGGCAGCAAGCTTCCTCCAGTCGCCTGCTCAAAATTTTCATAGCTTCCATATTTTTGCAAAGTCAGTTCCATAATTTTGATAGCCTGCAAAAAGGACAAGAGCATATCAGATAAAAAAGTTAAAACAGGAATTTATTTAGCTTCTAAATAGAGAAGTGACAGAGTTTTGGTGATCGCGTAGCCATAAGAAAAAGAAAATAGGGCCCCTTTAAGACTTAACATAGAGAAACACTTTCCAATGATCTCTGCACACCTCTGTCCTGAATTCTTTTTTTCCAGTTTTGCTTAATCCCTAAAGCATGCATGGTCATCTTCCAAGAACTCCAAGGGCTGCATGCATAGAATCATGGACCTTGGAGGGCTTCACTTGCTCCTGCACCCCACCCATTCCAAATATATATTTCTTTTTAAAAGGTTCTATCTTTTATGGCGCTGATAAAGCCTCCTCAATCCTTCCAAGTGGCCAACATTTCAAAGCACTTTTCTTTATTTACAGAAAACATTTCCCAGCTATCAGAAAACATTTCCCAGCTATGAGGAGGTCAAAACATGATAAAATTACCCCCTCACACCCCTAAGAAGGCACAAGGGGACTTTTTCAGCTCCCACCCCCCAAAAATAACCTGTATAAAAACATTAAATTGGGGGTGGGGAGATGCATGGATACTTGGGGATCACCTTTGGACACCTGTGGGGCATACACAACTGATGGACTGCACTTTGTCCACCCCCATCCTTAGGCAGTGAGAGAGTTTATGTCCAAAGTTATATAATAAATTTGTAAAATGAGTCCTTTTTGTGCATCACACATTAACAATATTCAAATGCACTTTAATCTCTGATCACGTCCCTCCCTTCAGTTTGTTCTTGATCTGTAGGAGGAAAATGGGAGATACACATAAAAGGGTTGGTTGAGCATATATCACTGTTCCAACAACAACAAAGTCTTTAAATTTTGTTAGATTACCCTTGAACTAACATATCCTTTCCACTTGAGCTCTTTAAAATCCCATACTATTGATATAAGAGCTAGAGAACTACTAAAATTTTTGTTTTGTTTTTCTGAGTCTCACTATACTTGCTGCTGCTACTGCCAAACCTTCTAGCTTAATGCAATGTCCCCGATTCCATTCTTCCCTCTCCCTGCTCCCACTTTTCCCACTGTTTTTTCTATGCAAGAAACTGTCAAATTCTGCACAGGTCAATGCCTTTTCTGGGGAATCCTGTACAGCACTCTTGGGAAATCTGTGCAAGAAGCAGGCCATTCTGCACAAAATCGGCCAAATTCGAAAGAATCCTGTGCAAGATTCTGGGGAAGACTGCACCACTTATGGAGAATGCTTAGCAGAAAAATGCCAAAACTGTAATAATTCTGCACAGTTGTGAGTGTTTCTTCTGAAAAAAAACCCCTGGAAACTTCAGAAAAACTCTGTGAGGTTATCAGTGAGTTTTTGTAGGAATCTGGTGAAGGAAAAAAACTGATGCAGAGAAATTTCACTGTAAGAAGAAGGATATTTTTCATGTTTCTCAACAAGAGCAAAACACAGAGAGATTCACGTTCCTAACAGGAGCACATACTTTTCTCATTCTGTTAACAAAATTCCTAATAAGATTACAATGCAAGCATTTTAAAAGTCATGACAGCTAAACCACAGGGAGAGTGATAACTGATATCCATCTCCCATTTATTCAACTAATTATGGTGGAGGGCCTACAAATAAAGGGCAACTTTAATGATCATTGCTCTCTCTTCTTCCCATTGTTTGCTTTTCAACTGAATTTAGACTGGGTAGCCCTTTAAACAGAGGATTGTCTTAAGTAATGTGGGGCAGGTGGCCTTCCTGACATTTGCAGATTCTGACTTATATGTCTGCGATCTTGATACTTACAGGAAAATGTAGTTTCCATTGTACAAGAGAAGAGCAATGTACAATTCAACCATGAGTGAACTAAATAATTCAGTGTGCTAGTTTTCCAGTTTCCATCACAAAGTCTTTGCCACACAGGACTTTGACAGGTATTCATAACACCCTTCAGTCATTATAGAGATCCAGTTTCTACTCAACAGTCCGTTGTTTCATTTAAAAAGACTGTTCCCTTTAATATTTTATCATTTCCCTTTTTCCAACAGCAACAAAGGATAAGAAGGAAACACAAAGTAGGCTTGAAGATAGTTTTTCCAGAAGCATAATTTCCATGGGCTTCTAATGAAATTTTAAAGGTTGTAGCCAAACTAGGCATCACAGGAGAAGATCTGTTTGTTTTAACCTGTATCTGGTCCAATTACATGTGGAGAGTAGACAGCTCTTTTAATGTCTGTCATTAAAAAAAAGCAATGCATGGGAAGGAAAAACTGTCCTATTGTCAGAGCTTGAAAAATGTTTTAGAATGTCTCACTAGTCTGTCAAAAATTTCACATGTCAGCATGACCGGACAATAGCCTTGCAATTTATTGGGATTGGGAATCACTGATTTATACCCTCATGGGAAAGACTGGAGAAACTGGATATGTTTAACCTGGAGAGGACAATGGTGTGACAGTTGAACTCAGATGGGCTGTCAAACAGAAGATAAAGCATAAACTTGTTTTCTTCTGCACAGGAGGCAGGAAAATTCTAATGGGCTTAAGTTACAAAGCAAAGTGTGCTGCTTATATACTGCCCCATGGCACTTAAAGCACTCTCTAGGTGGTTTACAAGTTAGGCTATACATTACCACCCCAGGTAAGCTGGGTACTCATTTTACCAACCTCGGAAGGATAGAAGGCAGAGTCAAGCTATCTGGGATAGAACCCCAGGTCGTTTCTCCAGCCTTTCCCAATGGGAGGTATTGTCGTAATTATTTTCATTTCAATTTCTTTATAGCCCTATTCAGTTATTAGGCAACCCAGTACTATGAACATAATTAGAGGATCATTTAGCATACAGGGGAGCATTTAACATTGCCTCCATTCATATTCTTCATGGGTTCAAACCTAGTTCTGAAGGGAAGGTCATTGCTTATGTGTAGACTACTTTTGAGTAGGAATTTTCTAATCTTTAAACCAGGTTCTGAAAGTGTTAGATTGCAGTGACTGGGGTGGTGGTGGTGGTTCTATGGGCTTCCCTTTAAGTGTATTCACAATGTCAGGTTGAATAATGACCAAATAGGATTTGCATCATTCTCCAAATGTGGTATGCAGGACTGATCATGGTACCCAGGCATCCTCTGATACAAGAAATTAGTTCTTTTAGGAGAAACGTGCCTCAGAAGGTTCTGGACAGGTAAGGTTCTGAAGCGTTATGTTCTCTCACCCTTGCACCCCATCTGTTGTTAAAATCATTTACTTCATATGTGAATGAGGCAGAGCTAGGCTGAAGCAAAGAAATCTGTCACCATCAGAAGCCTTAATCATTTATGTTTCTTTGATTAGCCTGAGCTTATGGATAAGGCATTAAGACAAGATAACATGTGGCCACCCAACGCTGTAGGAATACAACTCTCATCAACTCTAGGCAGAGTTAATGGTTGAGGGATGTTTGGAATTAAAATTCAACATTGGAAATGGCCATATACTCCCCACACTTCATGTCCTTGGATGTTGTTGGGCTTCATTCAGCTCCCACAAGTCACAGTCAGTGTGGCCAATGTTCAATGAATGGTAGTAAATGGCAGTATTAGTAAATATCCTGCAATGTTGAAATTCAATAAGAGTACCTGCCCTTCTGCATAGCATTCACAGGCACAGTTGCATCTGCCCAAATCTGGATCCAATCCAATAATCCAATCAGAAAGAACAGATAACAGACCTTGTATTCCAAAATAGGTAGCTAAACGTCTCAACTAAGGCAAATCTTGCTCTCTGCCAGTCCCTGACACAGATTTTCAAACAAGGTCAAGGGCACAGAAACCAATCCATCGCCTAAGTGAACAAAATGTATTATGTGAAAGTATCCAATGCTAATTAAACAACTATCCCCAATCAATACATGTTAATGCACTCAGTGTAACTGCAGGGCAAGCAAGAAAAGATAATTGACTTCTTCCTTCATTCCTTGAATCATCAATACCAGTATTTTTCAAAGTAATCATACTACCATAAAATTGTGCAGTATAGCAAAAAGAACCTAATTTCCATTTCTTTAAATAACGTCTTGATTATAAAAATTGCTCCATGTATTTTTCTTTCTGCTTGCTACTCTAAAATGTGGATTCAGCTCATCAGTCAAATGCTACTGCTCAGAAGAAGCCAAACAGACCAAGATTTCTGAAGAACAGAGTGTGACTACATGACCAAATTGAATCGGGCTTGATTAGGCTAAACAGAATTGCTTGAGGTTGCAAAAAGGTGCTGTATGCTATTTGGGGTGATTCTGAATCCTCATGCACGGATTGGGTGGTTTGAGGGCAGGACACCACACTGCACTTCTCAAGCAGCCCTTTTTAGTCTGTGGCTCCTTTAAAAAGGAAAGAAAGAAAGAAAAAGAAGGGAATGGAGGGGAAGGAAAATAATAAAAACAATCAAACTCTCAATGTCTCCTTCGCTATGGGGAGCAAGAGGAAGTTTTCAATTTTTAAAAGATCATTTTAATGTGACGTAGTACTGAATTGCTTTTTCTGAGCAACCGATTAAGCACTGGATTCAAAGGGCTTAAAACCCCTCCAAAAAAACTTCACACCTGTTTCCCCTTTTGAAGAGGAGCAGGAGGAAGCTTTCAAACCAATAACTGTTACATTGTGAAGCAGCTTAAGTAAAGTGACAGCTTCAGCCATCCACTTTGGTACGATCTCAGTGAACAAACATGTCGGAGCCAAATCAAAATGAAGTGGTCCTACCCGCACTGGAAAAACCAGTTGCTCCACAGGAACCCAAAAAGGTGGCACATAGGGATGGATAAGGATTGTTGAATATTTATTTATTGAAATACTTTGCAAACATATTGAAAGCCTTTGCGAATATATTGAAATACTTATTTATTTTTCCAAATGTGTATAACCAAAACTATGCTACTCAGTTATTGCAATTCAAGGACGCAGTGTACATTCTTTAAGGTTTGACTAGTTTCACTAAGCCAAGAAAGTTGCCATCACCTGGAGCTGAGAGAAGCAGAAGGAAGGGGACTACATCAGCTATTTTGAATCTATCTACTACGCTGTGTACTCAGCTATTGTGAATCTGTGCAGTAGCACCACTGAAGAACAAAAGCCAACAAAGCTGGGAATCAGTCATCCTGAGTGAGCCACATTCATAAAACATATTTTGGTAGGGTTTCTTCTGGGATCTGCATATGATCCCTGGTTAGTTTCTCTTAATACTTTAAACAATGAAGGCTTAGATTCTAATGATGTGTGTAATGTAGGCTGGAAAATACTATATTTGCATATTAATACAGTATATACATTCATAATATTAATATATTAATATATACATTCTGTGGTGCTGGTGGAGACTCTTTAGAGTCCCCTGGGCTGCAAAGAGAACAAACCTATCCATTTTGAAGGAAATCAACCCTGAGTGCTCACTGGAAGGACAGATCCTGAAGCTGAGGCTCCAGTACTTTGGCCATCTCATGAGAAGAGAAGACTCCCTGGAAGAGACGCTGATGTTAGGAAAGTGTGAAGGCAAGAGGTGAAGGGGCAACAGAGGATGAGATGGATGGACAGTGTCATCGAAGCGACCAACATGAATTTGACCCAACTCCGGGAGGCAGTGGAAGACAGGAGGGCATGGCGTGCTCTAGTCCATGGGGTCAAGAAGAGTCGGACACGACTTAACGACCAAACAATAAATATACATTCTCAATTTCAGATTAATTTTTTATCTGTAGCCTCCTACCATTTTGCTTCCGTGGGTGACCTCTTTGGGTTTGAGAAAGAACAATGTCCTTCTCTATACCTCCTTTCTACACACTCTGCATAACTTTATACACCTGCATAGCTGTCTTTCTTCTAAGGTGAGCAAACACTGGAACCTTGCCTCACAGGGGAATTACGCTTCATCCCCTGGTCATTTTGGTGGCCCTTTTCCAATTCCACAACATACTTCTGTTCATGTGAGAACTGGAACTATACACAGTATCCCAGCTGTGACGTATTATGGATTTATACAAGGCCAGTGTGATAATAGGATTTTGTTTGTGATCCCTTCCATAACCATTCTCTAACTTTTTACTTTGATAAACCACTACTACTTAAGTAATTGGCTTTATATATTTGATTTATTTAATTATTTATTAGATTTATACCCCATCCATCTCTAGACCAATGGTCTATTCCGTAATATATGATTATAATATCAATTTTAACAATAACAAAAAGAATACAGTAAATGTATTATTTAGTCCATTAAATAAGCAGGTGTGAAAATAACCCCAAAGCAAGTAAAATTCATTATAACCTGCTTGCCAATCTTGAATCTCCTGCCCTACCTGACACAAAGTCTCATAATTTCTGTGCTCATGCAGGCAGGCATGTTTGGGTGGGATGGGAGGCTGAATAAATTAGGATGTGGCAGCAAGTTCAAAATTCACAGAGAACAGACATAAAAACAACATGGGAAAAGGACTGGCACGAATGGTGATAAGTGCATGAGAACTATGTGTGGTAAAAGCATTCTTACCTGCTTGAGAAATCTGTTGGATGCTTGGCTGTGCTTTGCTAACACACTGGACAGAGCTGAACTTGCATATTCAAATTGAGGATTGTAGGTAAAATCTGATTTGAAGAACTTAATCTTCTCTCTCTCCACATTGGAAGGCTTGATGGCAGTGAGGATGCAGAATTTTCTCCCACTGGTGTCTCCCTCTTTTATACAGCTTTTGGACATCTGCAGCTGCTTTGGCTTGGTTAGGTTGGTGAAGGAGTGCCTTTTTACCTTGGTTTTTACTTGAGCTGGCAAGCCAATGCTACTCCCTGCGACAGAAAAGCTGCGTGCTAACTTGACGCTGCTGGGGACAAAGAGGGAGGACTGTCTGTTGAGGCAATACCACCCATTTCTGAGTAAAGACCTTGACCCCTTAATCTTCTGGTGTTCATTGCTTTGTGAAACATGAGCAGGTTTGGTGGACTTTCGAAGTCTTTTGTGGGGGGCTGATGCATGCTTCTGGTAAAGGTGCTTTTTTTCCTCTTTGCTCTGCAGGAGGACATTGTAACTGCTAGTACCTGTGGTGAAGGTGTCCTTAAGGATTCCAGACCTAGAGAGGTGCTGGAGACTGCTTTCATTCTTAAGAATGAACTGGTGTTCTTCAGGACTCAAGACTGTCTTTTTAGAGAGCTCTTCTTTTGGCCAATGGAGTTTCTCTGTGTGAAAGGAAGACAAAACAAAGCAAAAATGACACTAGAATGACAAATTCAAAGTATAATGCTATTTACCTGTTCTCATAGGGTTGTGTTTAGCAAGCAATATGAAATGTTTACACTGTAATATAGAACAAAATTTTCAGTTGAAAAATTAAACACAGCTAAATGCCTGAACTGTGTCACCTCCACACACAATCAAACATTGCATGAGTCTGAACTTCCAAAAAACATCTCTGTCCATGTGTAAGTGTCCATGAACAAGAAAAGCAAAATTACTCTACTCATTTTACTGAAACAGTCACAGAAATGCCACTCAATCTGCCCTGTGGATTTAATCCTTTATGACCAACACAGAATGAAGACCGTCACCCAATGCAATTTTTAAAGGGCTGAAGGAAATACTACTTTAAGCAAGCTTCCTGCTTCCAACAAGCCACTGTATGTCCAAAGTTTCCCAACTAATATTTGCTTCATACAAATGAATAAACAGATTAGACCAATTTGAGATTATCCTTTAAACTTGAAAACAAACAAACAAACCTATCCCCAACATTTCAAAAGCATTAAATTCAGAAAAGAGTGCTCTCTTCTCACATCTTTAAATATGAAGATTGTGTATAAGCAACTATTCTCAAAATGGCTGGAGGATTATAGTTCAGAAACTAATTATCTGTAGGCCCCCTCATGATGTCAAGGTGAACCATAAATCTTTATAGCACTCTTCAACTGCCAATGAAGATAACTAGAGATGGGGGTATTTGTATACAAATATGAATATCCCTGCACAGCTGGAGTTAATGAGGATCTGGCCCCTTGGGCTGGACCTTCCACTCACCTGTCCAGCAGTAGCGGCATCCCCTCTCTACCTTCCAATCGCTCCGGAGCACTGCTCTGCTAGCCACTCAGCAACCTTGCAGGGAGATTCATTCTCCATCCCTCTGCCAGGATTGACTAGACAACCGGGAAGAGAAAGGCACTCAGGAGCGACTGGAAGGATGAGCTGGGCCAGCGGCAAACATGTGAGTGGATGGTCTGGCTTCACGGGCTGGACTCTTGTTAACTCCAGCTGTGTGGGGATATTCATACTCATATACGAATAACCCCATCTCTAAAGATAACTGTTCACAAAAAAAAAAACCTTGCATGCTAGGAGATCAGTAAGTTGTCCCAACAATAGTAATAACAAAAAAAATCTTATCTATTCTCTGTCTTACTGCCTCTGACAAAACAGCTGATTATAACCAGATATAAAGAATTAAGATAGGAGTGCAATACCACATTTCTAGATCATTGCCATGTTTCTAGACTAACAGTACTATTCCTATTCAGCAGAATGACAACTTTTATTATTTTATTTATTTATTTAAAATATTTTTACCCCGACTTTCTCCTTAAAAGAACACAGGAACTCAAGTGTGTCTTCTAGCTGTTACAGAGTTGGTGAGTGCTGGTGATAATAGACCCCATGGACAAGAAAGAGAAACAGAACCTATTTATTCTTGTAGAAACAGGGGAAAGGAGCTCATGGTGCACGGACCCACCTACACTGCTCATCAGCCAATCCCTCTTCTCTAGCCCCACCTGACTAGAAGAGAGAAGACCCCCTTTCACATGTGATTCGAGGTAGCAGGTACTCCCGTCCCTTCCATCAGCTGCTAACCCATGGAAGGCTGTACAGTTGTGGTAAAAGAAGTTGGCAAAATCTAGGATTTCAAAACCAAACATGCTGAACACTAGAAATGTGCATGAGGAAAACTTTTGAGATTAGTTCTATTTAGGTTCTTTTGGAGAAGCTCTTCATTTGGTTTGGGTCTATGTGGGTATTGGTCCATTAAGAAACCCAAACATGATTGCTCTGTTGAGTTATTTCATTTAGGGTTTCTCATTCAGAGTTCTGACAGTAAAAAAGCCTGGTGTGACAAGGCGAAGGGGTGGGCGAGCCCAGGTTTTGGAGAAGGGCTGCAGCAGCGAGGCAATGACAGGGGAAGAATGGGGCTTGGGAACATAGTGGCAGCAGGGAGGAAATGGAAGAAGAGCAGCAGAAGAACAGGACTTGTGGAGGCAAGACAATGGACATGAGGGGAAAGAGCCAGTCTTACAGTGATGAAAAAATGACGGGAAGAAACAGGCTTGTAGTTAGTGAGAATATGATGTGAGAGAAGACAGCAAGAATGGAATGTGTGGCAGGGAGGTAATGACAGGAATGGGGAAGAACCAGTCTAGTGACAGTGAGGGCACAGGTGAGAGCACAGGTAAAGACTGGGCCTTGCAACAGTGAGGCAATGACAAGAAGGGAAAGATTTTACTTATACAGCATGAGTCAAATGGAGGTGTCCTGATGGAGAAAATATGTAAGTTTCGATACCCTCTCTTCCAGAATCTCAAAGTTTGTGGATTTCAATGCTCTCAGTTGGGAAGCTATGAAAGACTTGAAAACTGAAAGCCTCTTTCATTTTTCACTTGTGTTAATCTGGAAGTCCCAATCAATGAGAGAACATGGCTTCCTAGTGCACCTTTAAAAGGGACATAAGGAACTGTAGAGAAAGGAAGTTGCTGGAACTACGTACTGAAATGCTTAGATATGTTCACTCAAACTAGACATATACATTCTTGCCTTCTTATTCCTTTGCGCGAGAATAAGAAACTGTTTTTTGCCCTCTTTGTTGACATATCTGTCGGTATCAATAAGATTTTTTTTTACTTTTCCAAGACTTATTTTAAGAAACCAGGTTTACTTCAACAACAACAACAACAACAAAAAACCCCAACAATTCCCTGTCTCATTCTGCGCTGAAAATCAAAAAACATACAGGGGTCAGTGACTTCTCTACAAGCTGTCTGAAGAAGTGGACTTGTCCATGAAAGCTACATTAAAATATAGTGGTTAGTCTTTAAGGTGCCACAATGTGCCTAGTCGGTATCGACTATTTGGAGTTTCAGAAGGCATTTTACGTGGTCTCTCATCAAAGGCTGCTGAGAAAACTCCACAATCAGAGGATAAGAGGGCAGGTACTCTTATGGATTGAGAAATGGTTGAGAACCAGTAAACAGGAAGTAGGAATCAGTGGGCGATTTTCACAATGGAGAGAGCTGAAAAGCCGTGTGCCCCAGAGATCTGTCCTGGGACCGGTGCTTTTCAACCTGCTCATAAATGACCTGGAGACAGGGATAAGCAGTGAGGTGGCCAAGTTTGCAGATGACATGAAACTTTTCCAGGTGGTGAAGACCAGAAGGGATAGTGAAGAGCTCCAGAAGGATCTTTCCACACTGGGAGAATGGGCGTCAAAATAGCAAATGCATTTCAATACAAGAAAATGTAAAGTAATGCAAATTGGGGTAAAAATTCAAAACTTTTAGTTATTGGCTGATGGGTTCTGAGCTGTCTATGACGGATCAGGAAAGAGATCTTGGTGTGCTGGTGAACAGCTCAATGAAAGTGCAACCCAGTGTGCAGTGGCAGTGAAGAAGGCCAATTCCATGTTAGGTATGATTTAAAAAGTAAATGAAAATAAAACAGCCGACATAATGCCCTTGTACAAAACGCTGGTAAGGCTGCACCTGGAGTACTGCATATAGTTCTGTTTGCCACACCTCAAAAAAGACAAGAGTGGAACTGGAAAAGATGCACAAGAAGCCGACTAAAATGATGACTGGGCTAGGGCACCTCCCTTATGAGGAAAGGCTACAGTGTTTGGGGCTCTTTAGTCTAGACTGAGAAAAGGTGTCTGAGGGGGGACATGATTGAGATGTTTAAAATTATGCAGGGGATGGATCAAGTGGATAGAGGAAAGCTCTTTTCCCTCTCACACAATAGCAGAGTCAGGGGACATCCACTCCAACTGGGTGTTGGGAGAGTGAGAACAAACAAAGTATTTCTTTACCCAGCATGTTGTTAGTCTGTGGAACTCCTTGTCACAGGATGTGATGATGGCATCTGGCCTAGATGCCTTTAAAAAAGGATTAGACAGATTTCTGGAGGAAAAGTTAATTGTAGGTAACAAGCCATGATGGGAATATATAATCTCCAGGCTGAAAAGGAAGGTACCTTAACATGCCAGATGCAGGGAAGTGGCATCAGGAGACAGGTATCTAGTTGTCTTGGGTGCTCCCAGAGGCATCTGGTGGGGCCACTGTGAGATACAGGAAGCTGGACTAGATGGTCCCTTGGCCTGATCCAGCAGGGGTCTTCTTATGCTCTTATGTAATTGTTCTTTCCCCACTGAATTCAATTAGAGAATGCACAAACTGAGAGCAAGCAATCATGGAACAGGATGGGAGTGTGATAGTTTAAATAGATTTAATCCTCTCAACAAACAATTACAATACTTAAAGCTTTCATTTACTTGACATCAACAAATTCTTGCCTCTAAGTCCTGTCTAAATCATCACTTACAAAGAGCATATTCACAAGAACAATGCTACTCAGCTCAATTCATAATGTAACATACTTCAAGGCTGGAGTGAGGGTGCAAAGAAATAATTCATTCAGACTTGCTGAAAACAATGGAAAGAGAAACACATGTACTTAGCTCCTTCCTTCTGCATACAGAGATACAGTATGATGCACATGGAGAAGCTTGGCTTTATGCTTGGCAAAGTGCCCAGGGCATAATAGTTCAAGTCTGATTCAATCTTTTCAATCAACCCCATCCCAAAGGTGCTTACTTGCTGTGTTTGCTAGAATAGCAGTTTGTCAAGCCCTCTATTGCATGTCAAAGCGAGGGCTTGACAAACTGCTATTCTAGCAAATGTCATGATAAGCCTGCCAGGCAAAAGCCAAGCAAAACAGTCCTTGGTTAAACCAACAGCACACTCCCAGATATGATGACATGAACAGAAGTTCCACAGAGGTCAGCAGGACTGACTGATGACAAACCCCACACAGTGTTAGTCTGGAAGGGCCAATTTTCAACTTGAAGTAGGGGAAGAATCCTACTGTTCATGCTGCATATTAACATACATGCCTCAGAGGAAGGTGGAAAGGTATTGTTCAAAAGCAA